ACGATGTATCACGATGTACAAATTAAAGACTTGTTGCACTGCTCGTTTCTTCAAATAAATTTAAGAATAAGAGATGAAGAAACACCAATGTGAAAGTTTGTTGCACTAGTTAAGGAAGCATTCCCATAACTAGCGACGTGCACAAGTCCGTCTGGCACCACTGTGCTTTTATTTACCGTATTTGTTTTTCGCTGCTCTCGACTGCTCTCGACACGTTATGGGCGACCGTACGGGAGAAAAAGCGAGGATCGCAAGCCTCACGGCCTGCCTTCTCGCTCTGGAAAGCGAGGCGGACGCTGCAAAAGCCGCCGAGGAGAGGGTAAAGCAGCGCAAGACCGAGCGTCACCACGTGATATTAGAGAGTTTTATTACTGCGTACGCTGCGTACATGGCGGCGTTGCGTACGTAAGGCTGCCACGTTCTGCGTAGTGCGCATGCGCAGACCGCAACTCGCACGTATCGCGTTACGTACGCAGCCGCTACGTACGCACGCATGAAATGCATGCGCGCGTACGTATGAGCTGATCGCGCCGCTCTCGAACAAGTTCGCGAAAGCGCGAGACTTCGTTTTGCAAAATGGCGGCATCGAAGGCAAGCACCGATCGGCTCTGTGGCTTAAAATATGGCCATAATCTGGCTATAACACTTGGATTGGCTCACATTGGCTGTCAACAACACGTACTTCTATTCTGATCTACCAGATGGCGCAATAGGCTTCACGCTCGTTACGTACGCGGGTACTACGGCGTACTAAAAGCCGATTAGTTGCAAACGACGCCACGTAACGCAAGGCGCTTGCGTGATGCGTACGTAGCACCATTCGGCAGTACTAAAACTCTCTAATGCCGACGCGTTGTAGCTGCTTACGAGGGTAGAAAAGGAAATAACCATTAAAAGAGTTCATTACACCTTCTGCAGGATCTGAAATTTGTATTTACAAAGATTTTTGGTGACAGAAAAATAAGCACTCGCTCTTTTTTTCCCACCACTCGAAAATTGCTGGCGCCCACTGGTTTCGAGGCTACTCATTCGGAGCCGTAAAAGAATTGAATTGAATTTTTTTGAATTGAATTTTATTCATCAAGCGTGAACATGGAAAAGTGCATGGGTACAGATTCCCTGGGAGGTCCCAAGGTAAGAACCGCAGGCGGGACCTCCCATGATGGAAAAAAAAGAAAAAAAAAGAAAAGGTAATCATCAAGCAACACTGAAATACATTGTCAGCAAATAAACACAGCATAAAAAAGAGAAAGATGAATAAAAAACATAAGAAAACAAAAAAAAACCATTAGAATAATAAGCAGGAACACTCGACGAACGCCGTTTACGCAAGAGATCGACGAACGCCGTTTACGAAAAAGACCGCTTCTGAAAAGGAGTTCGCTCTGTGCCGTGTGTCCGCTGTCAGGAACTCGTTTTCGGAAAAAGACCGCTTACTTAAAATACTTTTAAGTGCCCGCCAAGTCCTCTTTCTTTTAAAGATAGAGAGAAGACTGCGGACGCCGCCGACGGCGGTGGATGGTTTGGGGTCGCTTATAAAGTGTATTCACACTTAAGAAACTTGCTGCGTGATCCTCACCTTGCTATAACGTTCGATCATTTCGCATGTCCTTTGCACTCTCTGCCGACATTTATGTGCATCATCTATAAGGCAGGGGTGTCGGCGAAAATTTTTTTCGGTAAGGCACCTCCTTGGTTTCGGAGAGGGGAAGGGGGGGGAGGCTTTTTGTACAGGTCATTTTTCACTCTGTATGCCTGGTGGCCGCTGCGTGCGTCTGCTACAAATATTTGATTGATTGATTGATTAGTTAATTGATTGATTGATTGATTGATTGATTGATTGATTGATTGATTGATTGATATTTATGGGGTAGCTTCCTAAGTGGGGGACGCCGGCCACTACGTGCTAAGCGCGTACTGCAGGACGAAACTTAAATTTTTTAACATTCTATTCTATCACTGTGTGTGCCTTGGCAAAAAGAAATTTTCGGGGGGGGGGGGAATCAGGGCCTGGTGTGCCACCCCCTGGCTACGCCACTGCTACAGAGTGGCGTATAGGAACTTAAGGAAATCACACTTGTACAGCACCGCTAATACTCAAACATGCCGTAATCAGATATGTCATAGTCAACTGCAGGTCATCATTCACATTAAATTTATTTCGGACGGTGAGGCAGCAATTTCTGCAAAATTTATGCCGGTCAAGATGTCGTGCTACACAGCAATTTTAGCCACATTTTGTGCATTTTCATAGCTGTGATTGTATAGAGCAAAGGTAAGCAACCTTTGGGCCGTGGGCTGCATGCCACCCGCAAGGCAGTATTATGCGCGCCCAGGCACGTTTTTTTTTTTTTTTTTGGGGGGGGGGGGGAATGTAAATAACAATTGATCTACAAAGAGAAGAAAATTTGTCGTGACCAGGATTCAAACCAGGGTTATTGCGGCCACAACACAAGGTACTGATTATTATACAATCACGGCTGGCCGGCTGAGGCTGTTTTCAATGGCCACCATGACGGTTAGGTTAGTCTGAATGTGAGCTGAAATCTGACTGTAAATGTAGTAGGCAACGGAAATAGCAACACAATGCAAACGCAATAAGTGTTCTAGAATAAAATGTAGTGACTGTGATGATGCGAATGAAAATTGCAAGCGCCTGGCTGAGAACTAATCAAAAACCCGTTATGCGTCAGTCTTGTGTCAGGTGATGAAAGGTGCCATTTTGAGGAAGAATACAAAAAATAACGGAAAGAAAAAAACGATAAAAAATTTTGCCGTGACCAGGATTCGAACCTGGGTTATTGCGGCCACAACGCAAGGTACTAACCACTATACGATCACGGCTGCCCGGTGGGACGGGTGTCGGCGCGCAAAAACTCGACCCCAGCTGAGAGAGATAAAACCGGCTCGCCGAAGTAGATCATCAGGAGGAGCGCGAAATTCAAATGCCGTTGAACCAAGTCGCCATGTATAGGCTTCTTGTCACACGTTATTGTCTTTCCAAATGAATTAACCTGGATTTCCCTGCATAATCAAGTGAACTATATTGCCATAAAGTAACGCCATAAGACGAGGCTCTAAATGTTCGAGCACATGCTAGTTCTCTGTGGTCTGTGTTCTTGTTTCTATTTCGACCAGATATTTATACCATCGTTACCTGGGTATAGTCGTGAAACAACTGAACAAATGCGTGCGATTCTGAAGCCGACAGTTTGGTTTTTATCTAGTCTAATCTAATCTAATCATTTTTCTTTCATCACGCATATATATATGTATGTTTTCTCCAATAAAGCTTCAGTTGTTAGTGTGCGCTGTGTTCATGTGTCTTTTTTGTACTTCAATTTTTTTCTCGCGCAACTCAGTTAAGACGAATTACCAACTCGCCCAGCAATCCGTGCTTTTCAAGTTTATTTGGTTGTTCGTTTTTGTAGACTCAGCGTTGTACATTTCAAAGTCCCTCTTTACGGTATAGAGCACGCCTATTTTCGTGATCTTGAAACCATGCTCGGAAATGACAAAACAATCTTTCTTTTTTTCCTCATGCCTGTGGAGTAGCCTTGGAAAGGGTGTTAGAGCAATACGGCCTTCCTTTTGTCATTTCTTTTCCTGGAAACGGGAGCTCATTTCATCTAGGAGGTAGTGTTCGCTGCAGGTGACCAGCAGAGTACGTGATGTACGTCTCGAACATCCGGAGTCTATACAAAAGAATTCATGACTGCGGGTCGGCAAGAGAGGCCATCGCCCAATACTTGATCTTCATAGCTTTCCTTACACTTGTGCATGTATAAGGAAATATTCGCCTTTTGTTTTTGAGAGAAAGTTCGAAACACGGTAGCACTCTGCCTAGAGATCGTGTCATCACCCGCATAGCAGTAAAATGAGTTTTTCAAACTCGCGTTACACCAGCCCGCCACGTGGAATGACTTTCGGATCGAGTGACATTACCACCCAGCTCTCTGCTCGTAACAGAAGCACGTGTTGTCCCGATAGCTTTCTGCGATTCCATTACTTAAGCGGGAGCCAGAAGTACAGATACTCCTCACTTTGCGAATGGTTCAACAACATGGCGGTGGATAATGTTTTCCGCAGCGAAGACTGCTCCACAAGCAGCTAATTATCCACTGATACGAGACAGAAACGAAAAGCTCCCTGGAAACAAATATCTATGATGTACTAGAACTAAGAGTGACGCCTGCTGCAGAATCATAGAAGGTAACACGGCTAACATGGGGGTGGTCAGATTGGGCGCACCGATGCTGACTCGGAATATCGCTTCCGTGTGCGACAAGAACAGCCCGCACAGTTTGCACCGGGCCAATCCCAACTCTTGTTAACTTAAAGTAATGATTTCCTTCTAAGCCGTACGTTCAACTTCCTGGGTGCGATACTGAAAAAAAAAATTCTTACCTAAAGGCTGTACCGCTACACGGAGTTTTCAAAACCGCACCGCACGTCTAGGTAAAGCTAGAGCTAATCGACTTTCATATTATACTAACTGGAAGATGTGGTACGGTTCATGTTGACTCTTGCTTCAAGAAGTTTGCGGGACTTTTGATGGCGACATGGGGCTAGCATGATATGCAACTGTAGTCGCGTCAACACCACCGCGTCAACATATTCTTATCAGACATTCAACAACAGAATGCGCAATTAAACCATAATGGCAGGCAACATGTGCGATACTTGTGACGTCGCATCTTCGACATGGTGTTGCTCGCCGAGAACCATCGCACGTGGGCCCATCTCGGAAGCAATGTATATAAAAAGAGTGTTCCCTGATGACTATGTCGCATACCACTGTGCCTCAAGGTAAAGGAATGTATCGTAAAAGTGAATAAAATTTGTGTATTATTCATTTATATCGCCTGTGCGTTGCGCAACTTACGCGATCGCCTTGCCCTCTGGCGTACTTAAACCAAACCATAACTACAGATACGTGCACCCACTTACGCTAAGCGCAAACGAGACATAATTGCTTAGCGCTTCGCCAGGATACTCACCCTATCTGACGTCCCTGCGCCTGCGCCATCGCGGCTGGAGCTGTGGCTAGTGTCCTGGCTTCGTCGCGTCCTTCTCGTCCACTGGCGTCGAGCTCAACGTCGTCGGAGCCGGCGGCACCACGCCCTCCGAGCCAGCGGTGCTGCGACGAGAGTAACGGCACGCAATAAACAAACGGTCGAGCCCGTCTCTGCAGCCGCAGTCAGCGTGGGAGACCACACTAGACATGCGGTATACATTCACTAACTGTGACGCGTGTCGTTACGGAACGGAGGCAGCGATACGGAGGAAACTCCCAAGTAAGATAACGCACACGCGACAGACACCGTTGCCTCAGATAAGGTGGCGCAAAGAACCGTAAGTGGCGGGCCGTGGGTGGGTGGGTAAACCAACACTACGGGCTTGGATAACTGCCTCCGTTGAGGCTTGGCGAATGCGTTCTCCGTCTACAAGTTCATCAAAGCCACAGTGAAAGTGGTATGTGTCTACTGCGCCAATAGCTTAGAGGAAGGCTATCAATTCGAGAGAGAGAGAAAAGAAAAGAAGGCAAGTAGACTATAGGGAGGAGTGAATGAGACTGTGCTGAGATTACGCTTTCGTGTTAAAACTATCCCTCTCAAGGAAGGTGCGACAAATATTTAACAGGAATATAAATCAGCGTGAAACGAAACGAATGGAGAAGCACGAGGCAGAGGGATGGACAGTGAAGGGCAGCGGGGCACTCAGGACTTGTCCTCCGCTCTCTCTCTCGTCCTCTGTCACGGTTTTTCAGATGCGGAGCAACTTGTGGTGGAGTTCAATCCAGTGTGGCCTGACTACCCTTACTACGCACGCGCAACAGCTGGACCAAGCACTGCCAGAACAAGCTCATGCGCCTATGTGAGTGCCAGTGCAAAGAGGCTGTGGCCTCTCCCCTTTTACACTCTCTAAGCATGTCACGTGGAGGCGTCGGGGAACGGGATTCTGCTGACGCGCGATGAACGCATGCGCCTCCGCATGGCGAGCTCCAAGAAGAGTTTGGGACGAGTAACAGCAACAGAGACTACAGTGAATTCTTGGTGTGCTCCACTTGCAAGGACGCGTCGACATCGGGCAAGGTGCCCGTGATGAAAGGAACATTAGGTCGACTCATGCGCTGCTTCGCATGCTACTCACGGTTCTAGATTTCAATCAGCTTTACTTATGATAAATTATATGTCATATATATCTATTTTAAAGGAGCCACAATAAGGCATTATGTACAAAGGCGAAAACAAGGTACCAAGCTTATTAACATAGTCATGTGGATTTGAATATTTCACACATCTAATATATCGGCAGGTAAAAGGTAATATTCGTTGTTTTTTTTTCAGTTTTACGCGTCAAAAGAACGATAATATTTGGAGATGAACTGCAGTGAGAGACTCTGAATCAATTGTGACCATTTGGTTCATTTTTAACCACCTTCTTTGCTAATTTTGCTGTAATTTACTGCGTTTGTTGCAATTGTCTATTTCAATGCGTGTAGAACTTGCTTATGCTTCGTTAATTTCTACTTAGCCGCTTCGATAATATTAGAAAGACGCCTACATATCTCAATTGCGTAATTTAAAACAAAATGTTTTTTTTATCAATGCATATCTTCTGCACCATTTTTCTAATTAATGATGACACGTCGAGAAGTTTCCTCTCATCAACAATAGGTACCTACTATTTTGGATTGGACAGTCAACAGCCGGGTAGCAAAAAGGTAGTAATGAGGCAAGAAAGTTATTAACGGCTGCAGTTACTACTTCTTTCGTTACAGTTATACTGTTTACTAACCTAAGTAGTAAACAAGTAAGAAAAAGGTAGTCACACTTGCAGGGGTAGTAACTGTTTACTAACGTATGTAGTAAACAGGTAGCAAAAACTTAGAAGGAAGGTATAAGAAATATAGTAAGGGTCGCAGTTAGTATACCAATTTGCTTGCAGTTGCTACCTTTTTACTAGCTTTTTTAAGAGTGCTCAGCTATCACGCTCACCTTTTAAAGGAGAAGCTTAAGGATCCCCCGATTTTTCTTGTGAGAAAGCCGACTTACATATGTTCCTAATTGTACTTTATGGGGCTTTTAGTCACGCACTATGTCGTGCTTCGCGTGCTGCGCCCGTCCAAGCGTCGGAAAACGCCTTTGAAATGCAAAAGCTATAGATCCGACGCGTAAATTTACGCGACAACGAACTTTCCGAGAAACAAGGTGTCGTGAAACTTGCGAAACGTTCTCAGAATCGCAGATTACACATGAATAGAGTGGAAAGAAAGGGAGAAGGATGAGACAAGGAAAAAGAGAGGGCCGCCTTATTCCCGTATTCACAATCGCTCCTTCACTGAAGTGCTCTCCGCGACTCGAAAAAGTCGATGGGAGTGCCGTCTCTTGGCCGAACATGTCACTGCATATCGGCAATACTCTGCAGCGATTCTTGAGAAGCGCAGCGTCAATTTCAGTCGAACAGCGGCGCAGCGCTCAACTCACTCGAGTGAAGGGTGGAATTCGAGTCGAGGAGCGTTTCTGAATACGGGGGTTAGTACTTCGGCCAACATTCTTTTTAAGTGTGAGAATGACCACCACAAAAAAATCAATGGACGGGGACAGGCGCATACTTGCACCAAAGATTTATTCCAGATGTCCAGGCGCAATCAAGCAGTGCGCGTGCGTGACCAAAACGTTATCACAACAAAATATTTACGCTGTTCTGCATCACTGCAAAACTTATCTACGCTTTTCGGTGAACTTTATCTCGTCGAGGTAACGCTGATGCAGTCAATGTCCTTCCTTTGTTAAGTGACGCGCTTATCGTATCGCTCGCCCTGTGCAATCCTGGCACCGACACAGAATCACTAGCTCTTTAAGAATGAGCCTACTCTCTACTCACTGCATTGGAAAATAGGCACCTGTATTCTTTTTTTTTTTTTCAGTGGTGGACCGGATGCTAGTGTTCTCGGCTGCTGACCCGATGGACATGGGTTCCACTTCGGCCATGGCAGTCGCATTTTAATGGAGGCCGAATTGCAGAAGCCCTTGTACTGTGCGATGCCAGTGCGAGTTAAAGAACACCAGATGGTCCAAATTTCCGGAGCTCAATACTACGGCGCCTCACATAATGATACCGTTGTCTTGAGACGTAAAACCCTACATATTATTATCCTAATTATATACTCAAGTTCACGTAAGTGAAGCAGAGACGAGCGCTATACGAAAGGCCTACCTTATAAGAAGGAAAGCTTAGGACTGTGTCAGTGATACCTTTGCAAACTTTCACAGCAGTGAAATGTTGTTCATTGAACAGCATAGATAGCCCACGTGATGACGTATAGGAGGCAATGAAATCTTTGGATGATTGCAGTTTTTCTGCACACGCCGTGGTTTATTTTTTGGGTGTGCTCATACGTTACCTTTAAAGGTTAGTTGCAAGTCTGCGCCTGTGCTTGTCTATTTTTCTCTTTGTGGTCCTTATGCATGCAGTTATGAAATGTTTGCTAAGGTAAACCTACTTGTCCGAGATAAAGTTCAACGCACATCAGCCGTTGGCACTTTGATAATAATATCTGAGGTTTAACGTCCAAGAACCATGATTAGAATACGAGAGACGCCGTAGTGGAGGGCACAAAAAGTTCTGAATGGCTAGTGTTCTTTAACATGCACTGAACTCGCACAGTACACAGCACTTCACAGTTTCGTCACCATCGAAATGCCACTTGCCGTGGGCGGGAACGAGCGCGTGACCTTTGGGTGAACAGCCGAGCACTTTAACACCACCGCGGCGGACACCTGTTACGCTTCCGTGTCTTCGCGAGAACGTATGTGCGATCTTGTGGTCTCTCTGCCTTTCCGTCTTTCAGCGAAAGGTCCTCAGTTATACCGGTGGTTGTGAGCGTGCCCAATTAGGGTCTTTCGTATTGTCGGCCACTCTTTATAATCTGGTATTCATTTTTATTGGACCACTACAATCTGCTCCGTGCAGAAAAAAAAACGGGACCCTGAGAATCTGTGGTGAGTTAAAAGACAGTTATACATAGAAGAATGGAGAGGAAAAGTAGAAGGGTTAACCAAGTTTAGCTCGGTTGGCTACCTTCTACTTGGGGTTGGGGAAAGAGGGAATAATAGAACGCAAATAGGTAGAGAGAAAAGAAGAGCAAGAAGGAGATGGATAAGTAGTCAGCGCGAGACTGCACAGCGCAATCTCACACTGTTCTTTCACAGGCACCCGTGAAGTAAGACGGTCTTGAAGAACAAGAGCGATTTTGTGGCTTTGCGCGTAGAGAGATTGTCGACCAAGGTCCCAGCATCTTATTTTTTGTAAGTAGTCATGAATCCACGTGATTTAAGATTACCACTGAACCCAACTTGTGAAGCAAAGCCCTATAGGGCTTTGCTATATCGAATAGAGGGTATACCCTCTACTTGAGATAGCCCTGACAATCGCATAGACCTGTACTTGTACGCGTGTTGCCTATGGTATTCCCAGGTTGCGCACGACATTGACAGTTATGAACTCTTATAAGTGACTCATCCAGTACAACAGGCTTTCTTTTGGCATTGCTTCTTACCGACGACCCTTCAGGGAACGATAGAAACAGTACTTGAAGCACTATCACGAGTTCAGTCATGTCCTGACCATATTCTTATATCACAAAGAAGCGGCAAGTGCCATAACTTCAAAGCAGTCTTGCTACTCAAGTATGACGCATTGCTTCATTCAGAGAAATGCCGTATGAGTGAGCACTCGACATCTAGTCTCTGTTATCACGTGGATGGAGAGGGCTGACACCAAATCTAGACGAAACGTCGAGATCCGTAGATTTATTAACAAGAGAACTGAAGGAAGTCCTCAGAAACGGCGACCTCCATGAACAGCTAAGGGCTGTCCAAAGGGCCCGCGAACGGGCGGAGGATTGTGGTGTTCCGGCCCCAACGTGGGCGTGGTTCGCAACTACGGCTGTGTTGTTCCTTAGGACCCAAATAACTTTGTTGACTGACTGACTGGTAAACTGATGTGGCGGGAGGTGAATATCTAGGCAAGATGGAAAATCCTGCGCAAACCTGACAATCGCACTGACCTGCACTTGTACGCGTGTTGCCTATTGAATTGCCAGGTTGATCAGGGTTTTCTTTTTCGTTGTTACCAGAGCTTTGTTTCTTGCCAAACTGGTGCCCACGCCACCTGCACAGGTACGTTAAGCTGCCTGAAGCGGTATTATGTGGCTAGACA